TATATATATATATATATATATATATGTAATATATATATATATATATATGTAATATATATATATATATATATATATATATATATATATATATATATATATATATATATATATATATATATATATATATATATATATATATATATATATATATATAATATAATATATATATATATATATATATATATATATATATATATATATAAAATATATATATATATATATATATATATATATATATATATATATATATAATATATAATATATAATATAATATATATATATATATATATATATATATATATATATATATATATATATATATATATATATATATATATATATATATATACGGTTTAGAAGGGGCCGGGGGTATAGCAGCTAGTAGTTTCTTTTTAACCGAATTGGACATTATAGTTACATCCGTTCATAATTAATTCATCTCTACCACGCAATATACACTATACAAATAGATTGCATGATAGTGTTGGGAAATATAAGAACATCTAACCAAGGTCACGTGCGTGACTGCCACTCCCATCCGCACTCATCTCGTTTGATCCGGGCTTAAAATTTTCGTGGGTGAAGCGGAATTATATTTTTTCCTGAAATATTCAATATCCCTAGCATTAATATTCCTTAAATACTGACTTTCCTTTCTAATAGTATACACGGAAAAGTTACTCAATTCTGATTGGCTAAGAGCAGTACAATTTTTCCGCAGTGCCAAAAAAATTAAGTGCCAAAAAAAGAAATACGTGCCAGGCGCCTAAACAAAATACTACATTACGAATAAACATGCATGCAGTTGAAAACTTCTATATTTTTAAAAGTTTTTAATTGTGTTATTTATGTGAGCGAGAAAATCACTTATTTCATGACATGCGAGTGATGAATTTATTTATGTATATTTTTCATATATTATTAATAAGCAATAGTATGATTTCTCGTGCAATTTGTAAAACATTTTAAAGGTTTGAAATTGCACTCGTGTCCCGGCTTTGGAATCATGGAATTTTGAACGTCTTTGAAAAACTCACTCGTGCCAATGTTTTTTTTCCAAATTGAACTCGAAACCATACTGTTATTATACCCATACAAATATTCATATTCTTATTAGAAATATTCATAATTCGAAATAGTTTAAAACCCGGTATTCAATGTTCGATATTCCGTGTTTGAAGTGTTTGAATGTTTTATTTAACATCAGGCTATAGAATTATAAATGCTTAAATGGGATGGACCGATCAAAACATGTCAACTGCTCTTGTCAAACTAACATGAAAGTTTAAAGTGTTCAATCCACGATTGTTCATTCTAAGATGAAAACGAAACGGAAATTTTGCAATGGACTGCCTTGAATGCCAATGTTATGCTTTTAAAGCCGGTTTTCCACTAGGCGAAAATTTGCGCGCGGAGCGGAATTCTCCTCCTTCATGTCATTTCACGGGTGGAACTAATTAGAAAAGACAAAGAAAAATTCCGCTCCACGCGCAAAATTCCGCCTAATGAAAACCGGCTTTATGCTTATAAAGCAATCTTATGCAATATTATCACGGTACAGATATACTATTATGCTTATGAAGCAAAACAAACAATGCTGATAGTGTTATTGTTTGTGCTCCGTCTTAACCTGCGATTTTCTCCTTTTGGAGGATGTGAAGGAGTGGGTGAGTTATAAATGTTTCAAGGTTATGAAATCTCATAACAACATTATTAAGTAATCTACTCCTTCGCATCCTCCAAAGGAGAAAATCGCAGCGACGAGAGACAATCAAGATCAACTCGCGCGTTTGAGGGAACGTGAGCCTACATGCATTGTCTATATTGTGTTCCCATCCCCTTACGGCTAAAGTAAAAAAGAAAACAGAAGCGAATTAATTTTTACAAAGACTGAAACGGATATATGTTGATATTGGGTCATCCCATAATCTTCCGGGTATACATATATATATATATATATTATATTTTCTAAAGCAAACATTATTACCCCTTTGTGAAAGTCAAACAACAGTCACCTTGCCTAATAGTCTCTTTATTTGGTTGGTTAAAACTGCCGCCGGATATCAGCCAGTCGCAGAAACAGGAAAAAGGTAGAACGCTGTTATACCCATGTAAGTCATATTTATATTCTTTTAATTACTTAATTTTAAAGCTCGTAGTTTTTTTACATGGGAAAACTATATCACTTTATTATAAAGCTGTATATTTTAAAGTCCGTCCCAGATTAAACACTAATAATGAAAATATATCAGTATCTAATATATCTTAAATTATATCGGTACTGTGCCTGTCGAGACTCATTAAATTGTAGCTACTGTGCCTGTCGAAATCACTTCCTTGATATTGGGGGCAGCGTTATATAGCGTTAGGTTTTTAAGTCAATCTCTTCTTAGGTATACGTTAACATATTTTGGTATTACTATACAATAATCATGGCAAAAATTTCGTGGACACTTAGCTGCGGGCGAGCTGAAGTATTACTAATCATATTACACAAATATATATATATTAGCCCCCATTGTATCTACCGCTTCTCCGTCCAATACTGGTTGTTACTTTGTATTTCACAAAGCTTTCACCTGGTCAATTTACAAGCTTTCAACATTGAACTCGGGGGAGGAGGCACTTGAAAATTGCTGTTTTGTATAGGTATAATTTGGCCAGATATACAGGTAGTTCTATTTACACACGCGCTGCATGTCCACAATAATTTTTGCCAGGATTGTAGGTGTGGATTTAAGCAATTTCGTTTACGTCTACCCTTTACTTTAGTCTAGCCTATACAACTATACCTAATCCTGTAAAAGGGCCGGCTCTTCGGTGCGAGCTAGATTGAGACTTTACTCAATTCTCCCACACCCGGAAGTTACATCTTCATGCATGTGGGTATACATGTGTTACTCGGCCATGTCAAACCATGGTACGATCGAGGATGACCATGCATGGGCCACCTATTCGTTGAAAATGTTTTCACTTTCTGCAGTGATTACATGTAGACTCCGCCTCTCTTTATACCTGCATATTTGCCATACATTATGGAGGCCGGGATCGACTCTGGATCAGGGGGTTTTCTTAACTCGGGATCAGAATTGACAAATTCAACATGCTGTTGCATCAAATATAATTCCAGAGAACGTGGAGGGAAAGGTAGCTAAGTGTGCCAAATCCCATGCAACTGTCACATAATAAGTTACATAATACTTTCATTACGACGGATGTGTCAATATTGGGCCATCAAAAAGCATGTGACACCTTTGCCGGCATTTATATATATTAAATGAGATATTACCGGAGGCTTTAAATCTTCTCTATTTTGAAACGAGTTTATTAATCTGAGTACTGAAATTATCAGTATGATTGATGTTGTACGAGCGTATGCCGTCAAAGTTGGCCAGTTGTGTTGCTTTTTTATACAAAATGAAATATCTCAACAAAGAAACAAACATCTATAAAAGAAGTTACTAAACAATCGTATTTCGTTTAAGACAATATAGTTTCGTGTCATATCAGTGTTCTTGAATTGATTAACCCTTTCCATGAAACTCACTCGTTAACACCTCATGCAGTATTTGGCACCTAGGGTACGTGTATAATGATCATTGTTTTGATGATTATGAATTATGCATCCAAAGAACGGATGCGGAAAATAAAGAAACGATTTCAATTGTGACTGGTTAGCACAGTCATAATGAACGAAAACAACCACACACTACCAGACTAGTTGAGCTGTCAGAAATGTAGCAACTTGAACAACTTATATGGAAAGTCCAATGCGGATAACCAGCTTACCAGCATGCAACACTTAATTGATTTAGTATTTACCAAGGAAACCTAACTTGATTGTAAAATCTGGGGTAGAACATGTTGGAATTAGCGATCACAGTTTGATTTATGTGTATCAGAAAATTTCTATACTACGTAAAGCACCCAAAATGATTAATACTAGACAATATAGGTACTATAACATTCCATTTTTTAAGTCTGATTCAAAAGAGATATTTTCAACCATGGTTTTTAAGAGTACGTGAAAATCCAAATGATTTATGGCATGATTGGAAAACCAAATTTTTAATGTTGGCAGATACAATACAATAATTTATTGAACTTTCCCCAACGGGGCTTTTCGGAGCCAATTAACATTTACAAAAAATTATAAGATATACTAACATGAAATTCTAACTAATTAATTACTGGTATGGATGTAAAAATTGTTAAAGGCCAAATGCTACTATGAATGATATCCTAAAAGATATTTACGTAATTTATGTTTAAAAATGTTAATTGATGAACTACATTTAATGTTCTCTGGAAGTTCGTTCCATAAGGAGACAGCACGGTAATAGAATGTCCGTTGGCCAGTTGCGCTCCTGAAAAGGGGATGTTTAAAGAACGTGAGTTCCTCGTGCAGCGTCCACTGATGTCGACTCTCCTCACAAATTGTTGAGACAAAGATTCCGGTGTTATTCCGTTTAGACATTTGAATGTCAAAACAGCGTCACGGTAGAGTAAGTACAGTTTAACGGAAATCCAGTGCAGTTCAGTCAACAAGGGTGTTATGTGGTCAAATTTTCTTGATTTAGTGATAATTCGGGCGGCAAAGTTCTGTACTGCTTGAAGTCTGCGGATGTTATTTGCAGTGGTGTTAGCCCATACCGACGAGCAATAATACATTTTACTGAAAACTAAACTTCGAATTACCAAGATAAGCAAACTTTTATCTAAAACATGTTTTACACGGTTAATCTGCGCCAAGCTGGGCATGCAAGAAGAGACAGTCTTAACGACATGACAGTCGAAGGAAAGGCTTGAATCAAATGTAACTCCGAGATCTTTCGCTGTTTGGACTGGAATAAGTTCTTTACCCAGTAATGACAGACGGAAGTCAGGGACTTTCGAGATCATTTGGCGACTACCAAAAACCATAAGCTTTGTCTTGGATGCGTTGAGAAGAAGGTGGTTGTCAAAACACCAGTCACGAATCCTGCACAGATCTTTATTCATCTCTGTCAGTATTGCTGAGGCACATTGTTGGATAGGGAAAGTAAGTGATTGTTCATTATCATCAACGTACATCTTGGATAAACTGCTCTGAGGAATTGTTTGTAGTTCGTTAACATAGATATTAAAGAGGATCGGTCCAAGAATGCTGCCTTATGGGACACCACTGTTCACAGGTAGTTTGTCGGATAGGACGTTATTGATACGCACGACCTGGAATCTTTCCGATAAATAGCTCGAGAACCAGTTTAGGGCAGCAGGTGATACGCCGACATCTTGTAATTTCAACAGGAGAATGTTATGATCTATACTGTCGAAAGCTTTACTCATATCTAGCATGACAACGGCCGTTAACTCTTTTCCATCGATAGCGTTCAAGATTGAATCCGTAGTCTCGATCAAGGATGTTTCTGTCGAGTGAAATCTCCTATTGCCACTCTGTTGGGTAGATATGCGTTGTTTTGTATCTAAATAAGGAATCATTTGGTTATGCACCGTCCTCTCGCATACCTTAGATAAAATTGGCAAAAGCGAGATGGGTCTGTTGTTGTTTGCTTGCTCGTGGTTGCCATCTTTTGAAATGGGTGTGATAACAGCCATTTTCCAATCACGGGGAAAAATTCCGGAAACAAGTGAGGTGTTAATAATGGAAGTGATTGTTGGTAAGATTGCGGGAAGACTATCTTTAATGACTCGCATCGAGATCTGATCTATTCCAGGGGACTTGTTAGTTGGCATGGACGAAACAATTTCTCTGATCTCCTCACAATCCACGGTTTCAAACATAAATTGTTCTGATTCAGGGTGATAAGTTGGTTTAAACTCTGACTGTGAGAGGTCGTAATTACATTTTTCTGCAAGTGACTTGATATTAGTAATTGCAGTTTGGCCAACTGAAGAGAAAAAGCTGTTAAATTCATTTGCTACGACAATGTCATCTTTCGCGAAAGTTCTTTGATTCGCAGGTTTCTTTGGAATGCATGATCTTATCGTTTTCCAAAGGCAACGTGTGTTGTTTGGATTTGTTCTAAATTGTTCTGCGATGTATTCACGTTCTGCTACTCGTAGATCTCTTTTCACCTCCCCTCTTAAACTTCTATAACTAGCCCAGGCTAGGAGATCGTTTGTCTTCCTTGCTTCTTTACGCCAATGATTGCGCGTTTTCATAAGTTCTCTTATATCATCTGTAACGAATGGATTGGGACGATTCCGAATTTTGATCTTCTTCACAGGAGCACGACAATCCAGGATTTCGTTGAACAGCAAGTTGAAAGCATTGAGACTGTCCTCTACATCATCAAAGCAGTCAACGACAGACCACGGGGCAGCAGACATGTCTTTAAGAAAAGCTTCACGGTTGTAATGTTTGTAACTTCTCGCGTAAATATAAACAGGTTTAGTACGTTCTTTTTTCAGGTTCAGTGAGGCGAATACTAAATCATGATCGCTTATGGATATAGGGACAACCTTCGTTTCTGCTACAAGATTCGGAGTGGAAGTGAGGAATACATCAATTAAGGTTTTTGAGTTCTCAGTGACACGTGTGGGCTGATTGATTAACTGGGAAAGGTTGAAAGATGAGCAAAACACGCCGGTTCATTTACATTCAACATATTACAGTTAAGATCACCCAAGATGTAAACTGGTTTATTGAGAGAAAGTGCTTCAATAAGAGTGTCACTGAAATCCATGTCAAAACAGTTGGGGCTGACATTCGGCGGCTTGTAGGTTGTACAGATCAAGAAAGATTTCCAATTTCTAACTTGGATTTTCAACCATAGCATATGTAATCCAGTTTCCGTAATATATGATAGGTTCGATAGACGCTCAACTAATATAGTCATGCTCTTCCAATAGATAGTCATGCTCTTCCAATAAACAGGAGGGTAAGAAGTGAATACACGATCTGGCTTTACCAATGATATAATGAAGCAAATGCGGCATAGAGACTATCTTAAAAAGAAAGCTGTTCAGACAGGCTCTTCCAGCATCCACCACGCATATATAAACAGGCAAGAAATGCTCTTACTAAAAAATCAAATCAATTAAAACGAGATATTATTTCAAATCTTTCAAAGACACTTCCAAAAATCGGAAAGAAATGTGGAAAACGATTAACAAAGTACTTAATAAAAAATCCAAGACAACAGATATCAAAGAACTGATTATGAATGATACACAACTATTACCAATGTAGCAAACACCTTTAATGACCATTTTTCGAAAATTGGTCCTAACTTAGCTAAAAATATCCCAAACTCATCAACACCGGCCAATAGATATATATATATATATATATATATCTGCACAAAGCATTGAATTTAAATTAGAGACTGTAAACGAGCATAATAGGATAAAAATAGTCAAGAGTATAAAATGGTATATACTTCGTGTGATCCTTACAATAGCGTATCGGACTGATCCCTAATGCCCACCCAAACTCCACCCCTAACCTCTAACCCCGGGTAATGGGCTATGTCAAGACGTCGCCACCTCCCCTTCACCGCCTGATATGGACATTACTTATATAGAGCAAACTAAACTCTGATTATTACGGTTCAAAAACTGATAAGGGTCAAATGAAGTATCTACCTATAAAATCAGGGAAATCCGCTGGGCATGACAGAATTCCTCCGAAATTAATAAAAGATGCCTCTGATGAAATCGTTACTTCTCTCGTAACTTCGTATTTTTCCAGACGATATGAAAATGCAATAGTCTCGCCAATTTACAAAGCAGGAAATAGAAATGACTGTAATAATTATCGGCCAATATCTGTCTTATCAGTAATTGCGAAAGTTTTCGAAAAATTGATATTTCAGCAATTTTCGGCATATATTTAGAAAAGAACAACCTCATTACAAAATAACAAGCAGGGTTCAGGAAAAAACAGTCAACACAAACATCCTTATTAGGGGTTACAAACAATTGGTATATTAATATGGACAAAGGGCTGGTGTTATATTTTTGAATTTGAAGAAAGCATTTGACTGTGTGGATCATGATATTTGATTAAAAAACTATCAATTTATGGAGTTATTATGGAGTTAACGGGTTAGCATTGAATTTGTATAAATCGTATATTTGAGGAACAGAAAGCAAATGTGCAAAAGCAACCAGGCATTATCGAACATGAGGAGTACCACAGGACTCAAATCTGGCCCTCTGCTATTTCTAATCTATATTAACAATTTACCAAATAGTCCAGTCAAATCAGTATAAGTATAAGTATAAGTATAAGTATAAGTATAAGTATAATGGTCCTGGTCAAAATAATCGCAATAGATCTTTTTCAGTGATAAAGTGTGTGAAAAGTTGTTCTGATTAACATATTAAAAATCCCAAAAAATCCCTTCGGTGGAACATGGTGAAAATCAAGTTTTTTCTTACTTCTACCCATAGAAAACCATTGCCGCAAAATGTTGAAATTATTTTTTTGCAAATATAACATGCATCAATGGAAAGCTTAGAAAAAACTAAAATATAGATCATTAAGCGGTTACCTTGCTTTTGCCTATCCGAAGTTATACAAGATTCAAAATGCCATAAATTTGTATTTTGTGCAAATTTTGCGCTATTTTTCCAACTTTGAGCTAGAATAACGACAAACTGACCAGTAAATTAAATATAACGGTTTAATTGACCTTTATATATAGTTCTGTTTAAGCTTTCAAATAATGTAGGTTACATTTGCCTAAAAATGATTTCAAAATTTGAACATTCTGTCCTTAATGGTTTTCTACAGGTAGAAGTAAGAAAAACTTGATTTTCACCATGTTCCACCGACGGGATTTTTTTGGACTTTTAGTATGTTAATCGGGACACCTTCCCTCACATTTTACCACTGAGAAAAATTCTTTTGCAATTTCTTTGACCTCTGGTCACAGAAAATGTGCCTAAAAATGATTTCAAAATTTCAACATTCTGTCTACAATGGTTTTCTATAGGTAGAAGTAAGAAAAACTTGATTTTCACCATGTTCCACCGAAGGGATTTTTTGGGATTTCCCCGAGCCGAAGGCGCGAAGCGCCGTGCGAGGGTACTAATTTCCCCAGGCTATTTACAACCGGGGAAACGAAAGCATTAGCCAAGTCTAAAGTTCATCAATGAGCGCGGGCGTCGGTCACCAACGATGTTGAGTGGGTGGTCATCCTCACTGATCTCAAAAATATGACCGATTGCGTGTAGGAGTGGGATAAGCAAGATTTCAGTTTTAAAAAACATATATTTGGAAAATCGTTTCATACACAACAAGTTTGAAGCAATTTTGTTTAAAGAAATGAGAATAATTGATTTACTATGGGAAATTGTGAAATATACGGCAAGTTTTCTTTGAATATTTAATGTTTACGAATTTTGTTGCTTTAAATTTTTGCCTAAAAACATGAACTGTTTTCCTTTCAATTAACGAAGCTCTAAGTTTCATAAATTACCGTTTAATTTGAGAACAATCTTAAAATGTAAAGGAGAACAAATTGATTTGAAGACTGAACTGAAATTACCTAACCGTTTGTTTTATTTGCATTAAACTTATTATGTTTTATTATAATGTAAAAGTTTATTGGCAAATGTAGTTTACTTGAATGAACATTTCAAAACATTTTACGAAGCGTTTCAAGTTAAATTTTACATTAAATCAAAGCTCACAAAATGCAAAATAATATACCTACAGTATATATTTCGGAAATTTATTGTTGTATAGTTAAAAGTATGAATCTTTCAACTATTTTGCAGTTTTGTACAAAAAATATGAAGATTAAAAATTTAAGAATATCGTGTTGTCATGGCAACATTTGAGCGCGAACCTGCGTTCAGTGTTGGCCATTTCTGAATACTTCATGTTAATTTAATGTTTGGAAAATATTGGCGAGGGGTTACTCCATGCATGCATTTTTAGTTAGTATGTTAATTAGAACAACTTTTCTCACACTTTACCACTGAAAACAAATCTATTGCAATTACTTTGATCAGGACCATGTACTTAATATAGTGATTTGACTGGACTATTAATACCTTTTTGTTTTACAGTTGACAGCACCAATTCATTAAACCCCAGCTTAGACAAAATCGAAAAAATCGTTTTGTGCTTATTTACGCTCGTTTTGTGCTTATTTACGCATTACCTTAATATGCGCATGCATGCATGCATTCATTCATTCACTCATTCATTTTATTACAATTTAATAGGGATACGTTCACAACGGCAGTCAGTTTCAGCAACAAAATAGAAAAGTCGAGTGAACCATCAGAGATTGCAAATGCATTTTTTGTGTTTGCCTTGTTTGTGGTACTCATTGGAAACCTGATAGGGAACTCCATGGTATTATATGTTGTGCATCACCAATGGAAGAACGTAAAACAGCGTGTAACCAACTCATTAATAGCTAATCTGGCTTGTGTCGACCTTTCAGTTGCCATTCTCATCCTTTTGGCGATAATTAAATCAATCGCGTTCAGAAATGCAGACATCCCATATGCAAAATGTCAACTCAGTGGATTTCTGGGTGCTGCTACAGGCTCTGCGTCACTTCTTACTTTGGCTGTAATTGCAATCGACAGGTGAGACTAATTATTTCATTTTCAGCGTACACACATTAATTGTATTGTATCGCGGTTGTAGTAAATTTAGATAGCTATAGGATATAGATTCATGTCTTGCTGTTTACGGGTCAGAGTAAGAGTTAGGGTCAGCATTTATAAACAGCGTTTATAAACAGCGCATAAATCTAAGGGACTAAAGTAAGCAGGGCCTTTTTTAAGGATTTTCCCGTGGGGGGGGGGGCATTTTTTGAAAAGGGACCTTTGTGTGAGATAATATATTAGAGGGGGATAGCAATGGCTGAAGGCCATGTGTGTGGCCAACATACCACACATGGGGGGGGGGGTCTGGGGGAGTACTCCCCCAGAACATTTTTGAAATTTGAAGCACGGAAATGCCATTTCCTGCATTCTGAGCATCCAAATTTGCTCCAAAATGTATGCTAACTATACTTGTATTTGAAATAAAAGAAGGAAAAAACACACAAAATGTAAAAAAAATATTAACCATAATTTATCATTACTTATTAGAGGAGGATAGCAATGGTCAGGTGTGTGGGGGTCTACTCCTCCAGAAAATTTTTGAAATTTGAAGCACGGAAATGCCATTTCCTGCATTCTGAGCATCCAAATTTGCTCTAAAATTTATGCTAACTACACTTGTATTTGAAATAAAAGAAGGAAGAAACGCACAATAAGTAAAAAAGAATATTAACCGTAATTTATCATTGATTATTAGAGGGGAATACCAATGGCCGAAGGCCACGACATGTGTGGGGGCATAATCCCCAGAAAATTTTTGAAATTTGAAACCCGGAAATGCTATTTCCTGCATTCTGAGCATCCAAAAAATAAAAAAATTATTAACAATAATTCATTATTACTTAGTGGTAGAAAAACGTAACAATTTAAATCGATTTTGTTAAACAAGTACAAAGGATAAAGCCTAAAACTTACTTTCCGTTTATCTATTTGTTATTCTTCGCTGGTTTGTTTGTATAATTTTAGGAAAAAGGGACTTTTCCTGGGGGGGGGGGCAAAATGTGATTTTGTGGGGGGCACAAGGGGGGACTGGGGGCATCCCCCCCCCAGCTTGTATGTTAAAAAGGCCCTAAAAGCAAGGACCGGTCATAAATTAGATGCTAAAATTTTGCTGCCCCCTTGAGGACAACACAATTATACTTGACCCCCCCCATCCTATTCGTAATTTAAAGTTCTTATAAAGTGAAGCCACATTTAATCATACTACCCTATCATAGTTGCCAACTTTGGAGAAAAAAACATCTGTGAGATTTTGCTTTGGGGGACCCACGAGACGCCATCATAGTTGGCGCTGAGCTAAAAAAAAAAATGAAAATATGGAGTCTCTAGATCATTGGAAATGGCATTTTCAGAGTCTTCTAACCTTATACACACAACTTTTGGTACCTTTTATTTAGATATACAAAACCATATTGTTGAATACCCACGAGTACGAGGTTGCATGAAGTGATGTTTTGATTTTTGTCTTAAAGTTTTATGTAATTTGACGCAAAGGAAGTCACTCTTGATAGTTAATTTAAAATGTGCAACAAAGCCAACAATTTAAGAACCAGTTGGGTTATTTTCGAAATTTGTGAGAAATTACCAAGCTGTGAGCTCACCGCGAGGTTTTAGTAAAATATGTGATGCTGATGGTGGATCCGTGAGAGTTGGCAACTTTGCCCTGTATACATGTGCCTTAATTTATATATTCTTTACCATTTATTGAGTCAACGGCTGTTCAAATGTACATGTTTATGTTGAAATCAGTTTAGTAAATGGTGTTGTGTTGGAGTTTGCTACAGTTCTACTGCTCTCTATTTTTTATCTGTAGGTTTTATGGTAGGGCGTGGTCATGTGGGGCAGGTATTCATATTGCACAAAAATTTTTGGCCCCCCTTTTTTCATGCACAAAAATATCTGAACACCCCCATCATTTTCCACCAGCCCCCCTCCCCTGTAATTAATGACCGGTCCCTAATTGGAATCTAAGGGCCTACACTAATGAATTACAGTAATGTATATTTGAATCAGAGGCCCTATATAGTAATGGCCTACAGTAATTGGTGTTAAACTGTTGTGCTGTCCCTGTCTTTCGTTGTATTATTTTTATATGTGCATGTATTTTATAAGTTAAAATTGTTTGTATTATTGACGAAGCTAAATAAATAAATAATTAAATCTATAACCAGCAGATACTCACAGAAACCGCTGTGGAAGAGAGAATTGAAACATGAACAGCAGAGTCACTTAACAAAACCATTATTTCTTGTAGGTACACAGCGATTGTTCTAAGCCGCAGGTTCGAATTGCGCACGGTTCGAATCATCATTGCCTGTGTATGGACAACAGCGATTTCTATTGGCCTTTTCCCGATCTTGTTTTGGGGGAAATATTACTACACGGAGAAAAGTACCGTGTGTAAACCTAAAGATGGTCGTTTCCTGCTATTTTTAGCAGTTGTTTGTTTTGTCATTCCCCTATTAACAATGGTATTTTGCTATGTTAATGTTTTCCTGAAAGTTCACCGACATAAAAAAATGATCATACAATCACGGGGAGACTGCAGATTCAATACAGAATTGAAGACCACCAAAATCGTTTTTACCGTGCTGGCAATATTCATCGTTCTTTGGACACCCTACACCGTTGTCTACGTGTCGTCATCGAACAGTGACAAGATGGACACCATCCCACCCAGCGTGTTCAAATTCTGTGGAATCCTCACTGCAATGCATTCAATGTCCAACTCTATTATCTATCTAACAATGATCAAAAGCTTCCGAAAGATTGCAATGAAGTTGCTTCGAAAAATTTTTTCATGCGTTCTCCCGGCGAACGAGGAATCGGCCGGAACAACAGAGTCGCTTTGTTGTGATAAAGCACGCTGTTCTGCAAAAATAACTCCTCTACCAGACAGAAAGATCTTGCGCATGCCTGTGCAAGTTCTTACGAGCCCAGCACATGGAGCATCGAAAATATAAACGAGTGACTCAATGTGGAGCATGGAGCATCGAAAATATAAACGAGTGAGAAAAGACCTCGCGTTATTTCTAGCGTTCACGTAGAAGAGACTTTCTACATCACATAGGTCTCAAGAGGCTTGGTTAACGTATATTATTATGAACTTTATTTAGACACGGATTCAGTATCATTATGACAAAAGGATCTTCCTGAAAGCCGTGAATGTAAAAAAATAGATTAGTGATTGTAATAGGCACAGTCTAAAACCACAGCCGGTTTACAAAGAGGAATCAATCTTTTATACCAAGATTCAAGAACGATAAAGAGAATATGCAGTAAGATTTTGAAATTCATTAAATCCACTCTTCCAAATATGGAAACCTAATTTTGATTGGAATTTCCCTTTAACTTTTGATTGAAAGTTCATGAATTCTGAAAAGTTGATGAATTCCGAAACTGGAAAAAAGCATGCCATGCGACTTGGGATATTATTATACCAGTTTGCAAATTTTCCCGAGATACACCGGTCAAACTTTCAACTCATATGATATACAAGAAAGAGCGAACTTTGACATTTTGTACATAATAATGTATATAACAATTCACGTAGTTTAACATACAGTGAGTCTACCACAGGGATCATGCAGTATAGATGTATATAAATATTGCATGCTGATTTATTACTAGGCAGGCGGAGAGAGGGGGCATTGATTTACTGGAAACTACCAAACCAAATAATGTAAAAGTTGACAAATGGACAAGATTTGTTCCACGTCAGCCTCTCAAAAGGGGTTTTACTTAGAAGTGATAAAGGGGAAAGTGGTTTTATATTTGGGAGTTATAAAGGCCGCACTTCATATGACTCCCACATAAAAACCACTTCTCAGGCTCTATATAATTGCCAAACAAAAACTCCTTTGAGAGGACGACGCGTGGGAAAAGTGGGGGAAGATGTGGTAGGAGGCAGGAATAATTTCCCCCTAACAGGTTTTTGATAAACACTGCAAGCTATCCATGTGAGCATATGCAGGTGTTATCCCTATCAATGATGAATGTTTATTGAATATATTCTGTCCATATAGTTAAAACTTTGAGAATAAAATGTTATCAATATACGGAGCACTTGTTGTCTTGTGGTTTATTGTTACAAATATTACAAAAATCTGATAGTGATAAAAATAAACAATACAATAGCTGTAGTTAAACTGTTGAAATAATGCACAAACTTTACACAGTTTATTTACAGGTTGTTCCCCTCAGCGAGTCACTGCTATGTCCTTTTTTGCCGTATAACGGTTATAAGCTTTCAAGCATTATTAAACGGATAAGCGACAAGTATATATAGTGTTCTTGTCATCGTACATATATCGTTTGGCACGTATAACAATTGCGTCAGAAATGCACTGTAAGTGCAATACAAAGATACAAAAATGGCTATATAGACAAAGCTCAAAAAGCCAACGTAAGACTTATCTTTCTTGGAATAAATTATCTTTCTTGGAATAAATCCTAAGAAAAGCTTGCAATTATGAGTTTGACAAACGAAAAACTGCTGACAATTCCGAGTCGGATCGAGGGTTCAGTAATTCGTAGTGTGCCTGCTATATAGGCTATACAGCTGTTGTTGAGCTGCATGTTGTTGTAAAATCTGCATTTATTAACTCTACTGATGCTGCGACATCACCAATGAACCTGCAGCAATAACACTTAGAGAGTTTGTCATGTTTTATCTGAAAATCATTTGCTGCTGCTTGCATGGGCATCGATATTCATATACTTATACAGTATATCCATTAGCTAGATGTTACTTGTTCTCCATGATAATCGAAATAACCGAGCGCGGGGACTTCGATTGGGAATGAAAATTATAACTCTTTGTAACTCTTCGTAATTTAGGGTTAGAGCTCGACAACTACATAATGGAGACAGATGTACCTTCCAGGACAGAGCAACCTTTCACGAACTGTGAAACTGCGGTCAAATTCATTCTTCGATGTTCTTTTTCTCTTCAGTAGAATGAACACATGAAAACTACGTTTCGGTTAAAAACGCATTCAATTAACCACGTCCACCCGCCAAGATACTTAAATATACAGGAGGGGCATGTTCAAGTAATGTCAGTGAATAGTGTAAAAACTTTTTTTTTCGTATTGAATACATTTGAATTGTAAGTGTTGGCAAACATTTAACAAAATAGACCGACAGTTGTTCATCCCTTTGACCTCACCGTTACTGGCTGTTGGTGAATGGTAATCTCTCTATATCAATGGGAATAGCGCGATATAAATGGAAACATGCACAGACGACAGTAGAGGAGGAATAGTTTCCCCGTATAAGTTTGGTTGTGACAGATAACTTAATTATCGTAATGGCCTCCTTGCACAGCCTTGCGTAGGGGTTAGGATAAAACGCGGATACGGACGGACGGATGGATGGACGGACGGACGGATGAGTGGCGGACGGACGGACGGACGGACGGATGGCTTCCAAAAAACGTTTTTCAGCCTTTTTTAAGTCATATCCGCGTTTTATCCAAAAGGATAAAACGCGGATATGGTCCAAAAAACGTTTTTCAGCCTTTTTTAAGTCATATCCGCGTTTTATCCAAAAGGATAAAACGCGGATATGGTCCAGAAAACGTTTTTCAGCCCTTTTTAAGTCATATCCGCGTTTTATCCAAAAGGATAAAACGCGGATATGGTCAAAAGAACGTTCTATAAGGGCATATCTATATGTATAAAGAATATTGAATATTGTCCTAGAATTTGAACAAATAAAAACCAATGTCTCTTCGCTTAATTACTTACTGCGAGATAAGAGTTCTAAAATTACAATTTAGTGTTAATAAAGTTTTAATTTAGTGTCAGTTATCTGGTATGTATAGTACTCCAATTTTATGCCAACGTAATGTGCTGTTTTTCAAAGCCTTTGATGTCAATGCAGTTATCGGTTTAAATATACCTACAATTCGAAGATATGACGGCAATTGCCGTCAACGGCCCGCTACTTTCTATACGTAAACGCAAATTACAATTGCAACGTTCATGCTTAATTTTCTCTGTTATCTGGGCATGTAGTAATGTAATTTTATGCCAATGCAATGTGCTATTTTTCAAGGGCTTTTCAATGCAGTTATCGGTTTAAATATACCTAAAATTCCCGTTAAGATATGACATTTGCCGTACGGCCTACTTTTACGCAAACGCAAATTGACAACTGCAACTTTCATGCTTTAATTTCTCCGTTATCTGGGCATGTAGTAATGCAATTTTATGCCAATGTAAGGTGCTATTTTTCAAGGGCTTTTCAATGCAGTTATCGATTTAAATATACCTAAAATTCTCGTTAAGATATGACAATTGCCGTATGGGCTACTTTTACGCAAACTGCAACTGCGAGATAAGAGTTCTAAAATTACAATTTTGCAATAATCATGGCAGGCGGAAATACGTTTCTCTTTAAATTACCCGAACAACTGTCTTTACAACAAAGTTGCCCGAGAACGATAGAACATTCGTTGTCCAGAAGCTGGTAGACTCCAGCCATGACTGAGGGGAGACCGAATCGTTAGTCAAAGAAGCGAGGTTTCTTTCAAAACTACATCAATTCAAGGGAATTTGTGTCGACCAGTATGCTTTAATCTTGAACATGTTCAATTTGACTTTGTTCCAATTGGATTTGCTACATAACATGCACTGAACCGAAGATAAGAACCTGCAAAATACAAGGTCGGTTTCAACCTGGTTTATATTTCGGCGCCAAACGAAAGAGAGTTAATTTTCT